ATGGAGGAGATTCTCGGATAGGAAGAAGGCTTAAGCCTTGGATGGAAGCATCCAAGCTTAAGGTGCAAGGGAAAGCTCACTTCAAAGAGGAGGAAATCCTAGAAGGGTTCCTAAGGTGAAGCTTTCTCTCATGGTGACTCTTGAACGAAATTTGGCTGAATAAGCTCTCAAATTTCATTATTCTCAAAAGTGAATACAAAGAGTGGAAGAATCACTTAAGTAGGGTTCCAAGTGTGCAACTTTGGGCGCCTAAATCCAAGGCTACATGTGGCGCCCAAAATTTGAATTCAAACTTGAAATTTGAATTCAAATTTTGGCTCCCATGTGCTAGTCCGAAAATTTAGGTGCCTAGATGCATTTAGGTTTGATTTGAGAGTTATTTAGGGTTAATTTGAGTGGCACATGTTCAGCCACCCATGGTGCTAAACATGTGACTCAAATGTAACTTAAATGACTTCCAAATTAAACCTAGTTTAACCTAATTTACCTATTTAAGTAATTCTTGTATATTCCTAATCTAATGACCTAAATACAATGGTCAAACAAATACAATGGAAAGGAAAAATTACAAGAATGAAAATGAGCCCAATATTGGGTACCAAAAGCCCAAAGGCCCATGAAGCCCAAAACTAGGCCTAACTAGCCTAAAACCTAAAATGCTATTCTATGTGGTCCAAAATACAAGACCAAAATATATGATACCTATACTAACATCATGTATACAAAACATATGAAATTAGCTATAACAAAATATGGCCCATGAAAAGTTCAACTTGGGCCTTCCCAGGCCCATCGGGCCCAATGGGCCTTGACTGACCCACACCTTCATGTCTAACCAACTCCTCTTGGCTCCTTCAATATGTCACCTCTTGCCTTCCTAGGCATGATTCCATCAACATACATCAACCTAAGCACCCAAAACAACATTCAACTTAACCAAATCACTTAGTGTGAAATGACAGTCTTCACATAAAACAACATATATGAAGTTATACTACTCCTATCATTATAATCCTTAGCTCATATGAAGTATAAGAAGATTTCCTACAACTCTCATGAAGACACCAAGTCCTAAATCCTTCATCTTTCTTGTTAAAAATTATAAAAACCGCAACACTTAGCCTAAATCCTGACAACTTGACCTTTTCTCACTAAAATGGTTATACCTGGAGTTCTAGACATCTTTTTTTGGGTGATTCTAATACCATTGAAAAGATAACATCCAAGGCTACAACTTTCATGAAGACTTCAAGACCAAATTCG